GGTGACCAATAGCCGGTGACGGTTGGGGGGATGGGGGGCAGTTCCTCTTGCTGCTCCGTAGGTAAGCATCATGGTGTTGTAGTGGATGTGAGCTTCAACTGGAAGCCAGTGGAGTGGGCGGAGGAGCGGGGTGACATGGGAGAACTTGGGAAGGTTGAAAACCAGGAGGGCTGCAGCATTCTGGGTAAGTTGCAGGGGTTTGATGGCACAACAAGCCGGTTGGACGTACTACCAAATTCTCTAAAACGATTGTATGCTCCCAATTGCACGCTCCCTCAAAACTTGAGACATCTGTGGCATTGTGTTGTGTGACAAAACTGCACATTTTAGAGCGGCCATTTATTGTCATCAGCACAAGGTGCACCTGTTTAATGATCATGCTGTTTAATCAGCTTCATGATATGCCACACCTGTCAGGTGGATGGATTATCTTGGCAAAGAAAAATGTTCACTAAAGTATTCGGAAAGTATTCAGACACCTTGACTTTTTCCATTTTGTTACGTTACAGCCTTATTCTAAAATGGATTAAATAATTGTTTCCCCTCATCAATCTACACACAATACCCCATGACAAAGTGAAAACAGGTTTTTAGAATCATTGCAAATGTATTAAAAACAGAAATACCTTAATTACATAAGTATTCAGACCCTTTGCGATGAGACTAGAAAATTGAGCTCAGGTGCATCCTGTTTCCATTGATCATCCTTGAGATGTTTCTACAACTTGATTGGAGTCCACCTGTGGTACATTCAATTGATTGGACATGATTTGGAAAGGCACACACCTGTCTATATAAGGTCCCACCGTTGACAGTGCATGTCATAGCAAAAACCATGCCATGAGTTCGAAGGAATTGTCCGTAGAGCTCCAAGACAGGATAGTGTCGAGGCACAGATCTGGGGAAGGGTACCGAAACATTTCACATGGGAGAACCTTCCAGAAGGACAACCATCTCTGCAGCACTCCACCAATCAGGCCTTTATGGTAGTGGCCAGACGGAAGCCACTCCTCAGTAAAAGGCACATGACAGTCCACTTGGAGTTTGACAAAAGGCACCTAAAGACTCTCAGACCATGAGAAACAAGATTCTCTGGTCTGATGAAACCAAGATTGAACTCTTTGGTCTGAATGCCAAGCGTCACATCTGGAGGAAACCTGGCACCATCCCTACGGTGAAGCATGGTGGTGGCAGCATCATACTGTGGGGATGTTTTTCAGCGGCAGGGACTGGGAGACTAGTCAGGATCAAGGCAAAGATGAACGGAGCAAAGTACAGAGAGATCCTTGATGAAAACCTGCTCCAGAGCGCTCAGGACCTCAGACTGGAGCGAAGGTTCACCTTCCAACAGGACAACGACCCTAAGCACACAGCCAAGACAACGCAGGAGTGGCTTCGGGACAAGTCTCTGAATGTCCTTGAGTGGCCCAGCCAGAGCCCAGACTTGAACCCTATCAAACATCTCAGGAGAGACCTGAAAATAGCTGGACAGCGACGCTCCCCATCCAACCTGACAGAGCTTGGGAGGATCTGCAGAGAAGAATGGAAGAAACTCCCCAAATACAGGTGTGCCAAGCTTGTAGCATCATACCCAAGAAGACTCGGGGCTGTAATCACTGCCAAAGGTGCTTCAACAAAGTACTGAGTAAAGGGTCTGAATACTTATGTAAATGTGATATTTCTGTTTTTTTATTTTTTATACATTTGCAAACATTACTAAAAAACTGTTTTTGCTTTGTCATTTGCTTTGTGTGTAGATTGATGAGGGGAAAAATACTATTTAATCCAGTTTATAATAAGGCTGTAAAGTAACAAAATATGGAAAAAGTCAATCAGTCTGAATATTTTCCGAATGTACTGTAACATACTAAAAAATATATGGGGGATTGGAAATGATGCAGACAATTACATTGATGGAAGCCATACTATCTGCAATATTAAATTTGATCTACCCCCTAAACATTTTTTATTTATTTATTTTTAAGCCAGAGCTCACTGGCACCGGAAAATGTCAGGGCCCAGAATATTTTATACAATGTTGCAAGTTTGTTGCAGAATTTATTATCATCAGGATATTTTCCACCTGCAGGCTGCATTGTTTCTTTGGGGGGGCTTTATGTCGGCTATTTTTAAATAGTTGGCAATGGCAATAGAAGTTACTTTAAAATGTGTACCATTTTCATTTACATGTAGATATAATTTAGATGAACCACATGACAATGATTTTGAGATACAAAGAATAATGAAAATCATAACTGGCACGCAGATCGGTAGAAACGGTACAATAGATTGGCACTCCAAACGGAAAACGTTGCCGACCCCTGCTGAAGCCTATTACCAGCAACATCAGGAGCGTAGCGGCAGAATCTGCAGCAGGGGGGGGGGGGGGGGGGGGGGGGGGGGGGGGGGGGGGGGGGTTTATTTCCTTCTGGTTAAACTATCTTCATCTCTGACTCCCTCGAGTCATTTATGTGTCATAATTATTTAATCAAAACAGCATGCTTAATTAAAGCATCAGACAAGTTCAGTACATATAGTTGATTTTATTTTTAAAAACATACGGTGTCTCTCTCTATATATATATATATATGAGGAAAAAATACACGTTCAAATATTTCGACCAATCGACTCTTTTTTTTATTCTTGGGGACAATTACAAAGAGTAATAGGTGCACATGGTCCGGCAGTAGGCTCCAAGGGTAACCTATAGTGTATTACTGTCACATGGTCCGGCAGTAGGCTCCAAGGGTAACCTATAGTGTATTACTGTCACATGGTCCGGCAGTAGGCTCCAAGGGTAACCTATAGTGTATTACTGTCACATGGTCCGGCAGTAGGCTCCAAGGGTAACCTATAGTGTATTACTGTCACATGGTCCGGCAGTAGGCTCCAAGGGTAACCTATAGTGTATTACTGTCACATGGTCCGGCAGTAGGCTCCAAGGGTAACCTATAGTGTATTACTGTCACATGGTCCGGCAGTAGGCTCCAAGGGTAACCTATAGTGTATTACTGCTAGATGAGCAAGCTGATTGATGTGCCATGGGTCCTGTTCAAAAGTAGTGCACTCAGTGTGGCTCAGTTGGTAGAGCATGGCACTTGCCATGCAAGGGTTGTGGGTTCGATTCCCACTGGGGACCGGTACGAATGAAAATGTATGCACTCACTACTGTAAGTCGCTCTGGATAAGAGCGTCTGCTAAATGATAATGTATAAAGGACATATCCTGTGTGGTGTGTGTGTGGTGTGTGTGTGTGTGTGGTGTGTGTGTGTGGTATAGTACCGTTGTATGCGGAGTGGTCGTTCTTGACGCTACACTTCATGTTCTTGAGTTCATCCAGCACAGCGAACATGTTGATGAACTTCCCCAAGGTCAGGAGGTAGGCCTCCGAGACAAAGTCCTTCCTCCTCTCAGCGTGGCAGAGACGGCGCACCTCCCCACAGAACCGGTCTATAGCCGTTCGCTGAAGAGGAGAAAACAGAGAGAGGGTCAATGTCAAAACAGAGCACATCAACTATACATTGCTTGTAAGTGGTAATGTAATGTAATTAATGTAACGTAATGTAAGTGGTAATGTAACGTAATGTAAGTGGTAATGTAATGTAAATGGTAATGTAATGTAATTAATATAATGTAATTAATGTAATGTAAATGGTAATGTAATTAATGTAATGTAATGTAACGTAACGTAATGTAAGTGGTAATGTAATGTAACGTAATGTAAGTGGTAATGTAATGTAAATGGTAATGTAAGTGGTAATGTAACGTAATGTAAGTGGTAATGTAATGTAATTCATGTAATGTAGTTCATGTAATGTAAGTGGTAATGTAATGTAATTAATGTAATGTAAAGTAATGTCTCCTGAGTAATGTAAAGTAATGTCTCCTGAGTGGCGCAGTGGTCTAAGGCACTGCATCGCAGTGCTAACTCACATCAACAGCATAATCCCAGAAACCCTAGACCCACTCCAATTTGCATACCGCCCCAACAGATCCACAGATGATGCAATCTCTATCGCACTCCACACTGCCCTTTCCCACCTGGACAAGAGGAACACCTACGTGAGAATGCTATTCATTGACTACAGCTCAGCATTCAACACCATAGTGCCCTCAAAGCTCATCACTAAGCTAAGGATCCTGGGACTAAACACCTCCCTCTGCAACTGGATCCTGGACTTCCTGACGGGCCGCCCCCAGGTGGTAAGGGTAGGTAACAACACATCTGCCACACTGATCCTCAACACGGGGGCCCCTCAGGGGTGCGTGCTCAGTCCCCTCCTGTACTCTCTGTTCACCCATGACTGCATGGCCAGGCACGACTCCAACACCATCATTAAGTTTGACGACGACACAACAGTGGTAGGCCTGATCACCGACAACGATGAGACAGCCTATAGGGAGGAGGTCAGAGATCTGGCCGTGTGGTGCCAGGACAACAACCTCTCCCTCAACGTGACCAAGACAAAGGAGATGATTGTGGACTACAGGAAAAAAAAAGAGGACTGAGCACGCCCCCATTCTCATCGACGGGGCTGTAGTGGAACAGGTTGAGAGCTTCAAGTTCCTTGGTGTCCACATCACCAACGAACTATCATGGTCCAAACACACCAAGACAGTCGTGAAGAGGGCACGACAAAGCCTATTCCCCCTCAGGAGACTAAAAAGATTTGGCATGGGTCCTCAGATCCTCAAAAAATTCTACAGCTGCACCATCGAGAGCATCCTGACTGGTTGCATCACCGCCTGGTATGGCAACTGCTTGGCCTCTGACCGCAAGGCACTACAGAGGGTAGTGCGTACGGCCCAGTACATCACTGGGGCAAAGCTCCCTGCCATCCAGGACCTCTATACCAGGCGGTGTCAGAGGAAGGCCCTCAAAATTGTCAAAGACTCCAGTCACCCTAGTCATAGACTGTTCTCTCTGCTACCGCACGGCAAGCGGTACCGGAGTGCCAAGTCTAGGTCCAAAAGACTTCTCAACAGCTTCTACCCCCAAGCCATAAGACTCCTGAACAGCTAATCATGGCTACCCGGACTATTTGCACTGCCCCCCCCACCCCATCCTTTTTACGCTGCTGCTACTCTGTTAAGTATTTATGCATAGTCACTTTAATTCTACCCACATGTACATATTGCCTCAACTGCCTCAACTGGCCGGTGCCCCCGCACATTGACTATGCAACGGTACCCCCCTGTATATATAGCCTCCCTACTGTCACTTTATTCTATTGTATATATAGCCTCCCTACTGTCACTTTATTTTTTACTTCTGCTCTTTTTTTCTCAACACTTTTTTGTTGTTGTTTTATTCTTACTTTTTTGTTTAAAATAAATGCACTGTTGGTTAAGGGCTGTAAGTAAGCATTTCACTGTAATGTCTGCACCTGTTGTATTCGGCGCATGTGACCAATAAAATTTGATTTGATTTGATTTGATTTGAACTGTGCCACTAGAGATCCTGGTTCGAATCCAGGCTCTGTCGCAGCCGGCCGTGACCGGGAGACTCATGGGCGGCGCACAATTGGCCCAGCGTCGTCCAGGGTATGGGAGGGAATGGCCGGCAGGGATGTAGCTCAGTTGGTAGAGCATGGCGTTTGCAACGCCAGGGTTGTGGGTTCGATTCCCACGGGGGGCCAGTATAAAAAAAAAAAAATGTAATCACTAACTGTAAGTCGCTCTGAATAAGAGCGTCTGCTAAATGACTAAAATGTAAATGTAAAATGTAAATGGTAATGTAATGTAATTCATGTAATTAATGTAATGAGTTGAAATCCACTTCATTATTATTTTGTGGCACATTCATTCATTTATTTATTTATTTATTTTCTTCAGTGTGTTTCATTGGCCAATAGCCAGGCAGAGTCAGGGTGAATAACCTATTTACTGTTCTTTGATTGACAACAAATCAGCTTGTGTTGAGACGTTGGTGGGGGGGGGGGTTTTAAGCTGACGTATATAATTGTTTTTAGATGGTCATACCATAATTTAGCTATTTGATTTTGAATTTTAGGACCCCTTTAGGTATAAAAAAAATATATATATATATAAAAATTATTTGATAAAATATTGAATTTGGTCTTTAGTACCAAATCCCATTGAAACACATTGAATAACACATTCTTAAATGGCAAAAAAGACAGTCAGAAAATAAAGGCAATAAGGTTCTGAAGTGTCTCTCCTACTGTGCATTCGGAAAGTATTCAGACCCCTTGACTTTTTCCACATTTTGTTACGTTACAGCCTTATTCTAAAATTGATTAAATTGTTGTTTTTCTCATCAATCTACACACAATATCCCATAAAACAAGTTTTTAGAAATTTTAGCAAATTTTGGAACCACCAAGACTCTTCCTAGAGCTGGCCGCCCGGCCAAACTGAGCAATCGGGGGAGAAGGGCCTTGGTCAGGGAGGTGACCAAGAACCTGATGGTCACTCTGACAGAGCTCCAGAGTTCCTCTGTGGAGATGGGAGAACCTTCCAGAAGGGCAACCATCTCTGCAGCACTCCACCAATCAGGCCTTTATGGTAGAGTGGCAAGACAGAAGCCACTCCTCAGTAAAAGGCACATGACAGCCCGCTTGAAGTTTGCCAAAAGGCACTTAAACACTCACAGACCATGAGAAACAAGATTCTCTGGTCTGATGAAACCAAGATTGAACTCTTTGGCCTGAATGCCAAGCGTCACATCTGGAGGAAACCTGGCACCATCACTACAGTGAAGCATGTTTGTGATAGCATCATGCTGTGGGGATGTTTTTCAGCGGCAGGGACTGGGAGACTAGTCAGGATCGAGGGACAGATGAACGGAGCAAAGTACAGAGAGATCCTTGATGAAAACCTGCTCCAGAGCGCTCAGGACCTCAGACTGGGGCGAAGGTTCACCTTCCAACAGGAAAACGACCCTAAGCACACAGCCAAGACAATGCAGGAGTGGTTTCAGGACAAGTCTCAATGTCCTTGAGTGGCCGAGAAAGAGTCCGGACTTGAACCCGATCAAACATCTCTGGAGAGACCTGAAAATAGCTGTGCAGCGACGCTCCCCATCCAACCTGACAGAGCTTGAGAGGATCTGCAGAGAAGAATGGGAGAAACTCCCCAAATACTGGTGTGCCAAGCTTGTAGCATCATACCCAAGAAGACTCGAGGCTGAAATCGCTGCCAAAGGTTCTTCAACAAAGTACTGAGTAAATGGTCTGAGTACTTATGTAAATGTGATATTTCCGTTTTTTATTTTTAACCTCAAATTCTTGTTAATCTAACTGCACTGTCCAATTTACAGTAGCTATTACAGTGAAAAAATACCATGCTATTGTTTGAGACGAGTGCACAACAACAAAAAAAGTATCACGGCAACTGGTTTGGTACATTCACCTCTGAAGGTAAATAATGTACTTACATTTAGTAATCTTGTTCTGATTTGTCATCCTAAGGGTCCCAGAGATAAAATGTATCATGGTTTTGTTTGATTAAATCCATTTTTATATTCAAATGTAGGAACTGGGTTCCACAGTTTGAACCCTTGCTGTCTCTGGCTCCACACCCAACCCACCCGGCCATCTAGATGTGTGAAAGTTAGTGTATAAGCTAATGATCCATCATGTATGACATTCCTGGGAGTGTGTAAACTTACATTTTGTATCACCATATAATTTCTGTATGTTCTCTATAGTTATGTACTTTAAAATGTATCAATTGACCAATTCGGCACATTTGGGCAGACTTGATACAAAATAGTCCAGTATTGCAATGCTTCACTGGATCAATCTGAAACATTGCGCACACACTGCTGCCATCTAGTGGCCAGAATCTAAATTGCGCCTAAACTACAATATTATATTGTGGCCTTTCTCTTGAGTGAAAGTTAGTTGCTTCAGATCCAGAGCTACAGGCAGTCAGATTTGGGTATGTCATTTTAGGCGAAAATTTTAAAAAAACGGGTCCGATCCTTAAGAGGTTAAAGAGATAGTTCACCCTGGTTTCCTTAAGAGTCGACAGCTGCAGAACCAATCAAATACATCATTTGAAGAACAAACATCATTGTGGCAATTCATATGGAAATATTACTTTAATCTCAAGAGAAGACCGGTTAAAAAAGGTGATCTTGGAAAATAGTCCTGATCATACAGTGGGGGAAAAAAGTATTTAGTCAGCCACCAATTGTGCAAGTTCTCCCACTTAAAAAGATGAGAGAGGCCTGTAATTTTCATCATAGGTACACGTCAACTATGACAGACAAAATGAGAATGTTTTTTTCCAGAAAATCACATTGTAGGATTTTTAATGAATTTATTGGCAAATGATGGTGGAAAATAAGTATTTGGTCAATAACAAAAGTTTCTCAATACTTTGTTATATACCCTTTGTTGGCAATGACACAGGTCAAACGTTTTCTGTAAATCTTCACAAGGTTTTCACACACTGTTGCTTGTATTTTGGCCCATTCCTCCATGCAGATCTCCTCTAGAGCAGTGATGTTTTTGGGGCTGTCGCTGGGCAACACAGACTTTCAACTCCCTCCAAAGATTTTCTATGGGGTTGAGATCTGGAGACTGGCTAGGCCACTCCAGGACCTTGAAATGCTTCTTATGAAGCCACTCCTTCGTTGCCCGGGCGGTGTGTTTGGGATCATTGTCATGCTGAAAGACCCAGCCACGTTTCATCTTCAATGCCCTTGCTGATGGAAGGAGGTTTTCACTCAAAATCTCACGATACATGGCCCCATTCATTCTTTCCTTTACACGGATCAGTCATCCTGGTCCCTTTGCAGAAAAACAGCCCAAAAGCATGATGTTTCCACCCCCATGCTTCACAGTAGGTATGGTGTTCTTTGGATGCAACTCAGCATTCTTTGTCCTCCAAACATGACGAGTTGAGTTTTTACCAAAAAGTTCTATTTTGGTTTCATCTGACCATATGACATTCTCCCAATCCTCTTCTGGATCATCCAAATGCACTTCAGACGGGCCTGGACATGTACTGGCTTAAGCAGGGGGACACGTCTCGCACTGCAGGATTTGAGTCCCTGGCGGCGTAGTGTGTTACTGATGGTAGGCTTTGTTACTTTGGTCCCAGCTCTCTGCAGGTCATTCACTAGGTCCCCCCGTGTGGTTCTGGGATTTTTGCTCACCGTTCTTGTGATCATTTTGACCCCACGGGGTGAGATCTTGCGTGGAGCCCCAGATTGAGGGAGATTATCAATGGTCTTGTATGTCTTCCATTTCCTAATAATTGCTCCCACAGTTGATTTATTCAAACCAAGCTGCTTACCTATTGCAGATTCAGTCTTCCCAGCCTGGTGCAAGTCTACAATTTTGTTTCTGGTGTCCTTTGACAGCTCTTTGGTCTTGGCCATTGTGGAGTTTGGAGTGTGACTGTTTGAGGTTGTGGACAGGTGTCTTTTATACTGATAACAAGTTCAAACAGGTGCCATTAATACAGGTAACGAGTGGAGGACAGAGGAGCCTCTTAAAGAAGAAGTTACAGGTCTGTGAGAGCCAGAAATCTTGCTTGTTTGTAGGTGACCAAATACTTATTTTCCACCATAATTTGCAAATAAATTCATTAAAAATCCTACAATGGGATTTTCTGGATTTTTTTCTCTCAATTTGTCTGTCATAGTTGACGTGTACCTATGATGAAAATTACAGGCCTCTCTCATCTTTTTAAGTGGGAGAACTTGCACAATTGGTGGCTGACTAAATACTTTTTTTCCCCACTGTATATGCCTAGGCCTAGTTGATATCCAAAACAACTAAACACACTGAATTCGTAAATGTTCAGTTATTTAAATTGTAAAGTCATGTCTTTCTACTCTATACCACAACTAATTTTACTGATCTGGTAAAGTCGTTAAAGTATCCAATCATTTAGCTGTGTATTTCAGATGGAATCAAGACATTAGAATGCACCAGAGGGCAACACTATAGAGCTTGTTCTGCCAAAACTATTTCGGGGGCGTGTCCCCCCCGGACCCCCACATCCCAGAACTCCCTGGCTGGCTACTTTTCTATTTGGCTGGCTACTCCATGTCCTTCAGGAAAACACTGCGGTGACAGAACATTGGAGGAATATCTACAGTTGAAGTCTGAAGTTTACATACACTTAGGTTGGAGTCATTAAAACTCGTTTTTCAACCACTCCACAAATTTCTAGTTCGTGCATGACACAAGTAATTTTTCCAACAATTGTTTACAGACAAATTATTTCACTTATAATTCACTGTATCACAATTCCAGTGGGTCAGAAGTTTACATACACTAAGTTGACTGTGCCTTTAAACAGGTTGGAAAATTCCAGGAAATTATGTAATGGCTTTAGAAGCTTCTGTTGGACATCATTTGAGTCAATTGGAGGTGTACCTGTGGATGTATTTCAAGGCCTACCTTCAAACTCAGTGCCTCTTTGCTTGACATCATGGGAAAATCAAAAGAAATCAGCCAAGACCTCAGAAGAAAATGTGTAGACCTCCACAAGTCTGGTTCATCCTTGGGAGCAATTTCCAAACGCCATAAGGTACCACGTTCATCTGTACAAACAATAGTACGCAACTATAAACACCATGGGACCATGCAGCCGTCATACCGCTCAGGAAGGAGACGCGTTCTGTCTCCTAGAGATGAACGTACTTTGGTGCGAAAAGTGCAAATCAATCCCAGAACAACAGCAAAGGACCTTGTGAAGATGCTGGAGGAAACAGGTACAAAAGTATCTATATCCACAGTAAAATGAGTCCTATATCAACATAACCTGAAAGGCCGCTCAGCAAGGAAGAAGCCTCTGCTCCAAAACCGCCATAAAAAAGCCAGACTACGGTTTGCAACTGCACATTGCGACAAAGATCGTACTTTTTGGAGAAATGTCCTCTGGTCTGATTAAACAAAAATAGAACTGTTTGGCCATAATGACCATTGTTATGTTTGGAGGAAAAAGGGGGCGGTTTGCAAGCCGAAGAACACCATCCCAACCGTGAAGCACGGGGGTGGCAGCATCATGCTGTGGGGGTGCTTTGCTGCAGGAGGGACTGGTGCACTTCACAAAATAGATGGCATCATGAGGAAGGAAAATTATGTGGATATATTGAAGCAACATCTCAAGACATCAGTCAGGAAGTTAAAGCTTGGTCGCAAATGGGTCTTCCAAATGGACAATGACCCCAAACATACTTCCAAAGTTGTGGCAAAATGGCTTAAGGACAACAAAGTCAAGGTATTGGAGTGGCCATCAGAAAGACCTCAATCCTATAGAAAGTTTGTGGGTGTGACACTCTGGCTCTGGGACTTTTGTATTTGAGCCAGGGTGTATTTTGTTTTGTTGGGTTTTGGTTTTGTTTCTAGGTTTGCCTTTCTGTTGGCTGCATTTCTAGGTTTGGTCGATGACTCCCAATCGGAGGTAACGAGTGTCAGCTGTCGGCTCGTTATCTCTGATTGGGAGCCATATTTATTCTGATTGTTTTCTCCTGTGGGAATTGTGGGTTTTTGTTCCTTTTGGTCAGTGTACCGTGGACTTCATTGAGTCGTCTTTTGTTTGTAGTTCGATTACGTTTATTTAATAAAGTCATGTTTATTGTCAGCCTGCCTCTGAGAAGTTTATTGTATCTCTCGTTGTTGTTACCCGAGAGCTCGCACTGCGTGCGCTTTTCTTGTTTAAACGCACTGTGTTTTTGTGCGTAATTGTTTGCGCCACCCGGTTGGGTTGGCGACTCATTGTTCACGTGTTTTTGAACATTACTAAAGACGGTTGAAGTCATCCTGGTTCCTGCGCTTGATTCCTTCCACTCATCTACACACACCACTCTGACAGAAAAACCCACCTTAACAGGACCAAGCAAGGTGTCAAGCGGCAACAGTATCCACCTATAAAGGATTCATGGACATGGGAGGAGATACTGGATGGAAAGGGTCCTTGGGCACAACCGGGAGAATATCGCCGTCCTCGTGAAGAGCTGGAGGCAGCTAAAGCCGAGAGGAGGCGGTATGAGGAGGCAGCACGGAGTCAAGGCTGGAAGCCCGTGGGTACTACCCAAAAATTTATTGGGGGGGGGCTTAAAGGGAGTGTGGCGAAGTCAGGTAGGAGACCTGCGCCTACTCCCTGGACTGACCGTGGAGAGCGAGAGTACGGGCAGACACCGTGTTACGCAGTAGAGCGCATGGTGTCTCCTGTACGCAGGCATAGCCCGGTTCGGTACGTTCCAGCTCCACGTATCGGCCGGGTTAGAGTGAGCATTGAGCCAGATGTCATGAAGCCGGCCCAACGCATCCGGCTACCAGTGCGTCTTCTCGGGCCGGCGTACATGGCACCAGCCTTACGCATGGTGTTCCCGGTTCGCCCACATAGGCCGGTGCGGGTTATTCCACCTCCCCGTACTGGTCGGGCGACGGGGAGCATCAACCCGGGTAAGGTTGGGCAGGCTCAGTGCTCAAGGGGGCCAGTAAGCCTGCACGGTCCGGTATTTCCAGCGCCACCTCCCCGCTCCAGCTCAGTACCACCAGTGCCTACACCACGCACCAAGCCTCCTGTGTGTTCCCCGAGTCCGGTGCGTCCTGTTGCTGCTCTCCGCACTAGGCTTTATGTGCGTTCCCAGGGTCCAGCATACCCTGTTGCTTCTCCCCGCACTAGCCCTGAGATGCGTGTCCTCAGCCCGGTACCTCCAGTTCCGGCACCACGCACCAGGCCTACGGTGCGCCTCAGACGGCCAGAGTCTGCCGTCTGCCCAACGGGGCCTGAACTGCCCGTCTGGACTGAGCCTGCAAAGCCGCCCGTCTGCCATGAGCCTTCAGAGCCGTCCGCCAGACCGGAGCCGCTAGAGCCTTCCGCCAGACAGGATCAGCCAGAGCCTTCCGCCAGACAGGATCAGCCAGAGCCTTCCGCCAGACAGGATCAGCCAGAGCCGTCAGCCAGCCATGAGCAGCCAGATCCGTCAGCCAGCCATGAGCAGCCAGATCCGTCAGCCAGCCATGAGCAGCCAGATCCGTCAGCCAGCCATGAGCAGCCAGATCCGTCAGCCAGCCATGAGCAGCCAGATCCTTCAGCCAGCCATGAGCAGCCAGATCCGTAGGCCAGCCATGAGCAGCCAGATCCGTCGGCCAGCCATGAGCAGCCAGATCCGTCAGCCAGCCATGAGCAGCCAGATCCGTCGGCCAGCCATGAGCAGCCAGATCCTTCAGCCAGCCATGAGCCGTCCAGCCAGGATCCGCCAGAGCCGTCCAGCCAGGATCCGCCAGAGCCGTCCAGCCAGGATCCGCCAGAGCCAGCCAGCCAGGATCCGCCATTGAGTCCGGTGCTGTCCCTTAGCCCGGTGCTGCCCCTTATCCTGGTGCTGCCCCTTAGTCCGGTACTGCCCCTTAGTCCGGTGCTGCCCCTTAGTCCGGTGCTGCCCTTTAGTCCGGTGCCGCCCCTTAATCCAGTGGGGTTTAGTTGGGGGGTGGTCATGTGGAGGAGGCTACGGAGGCGGATAGTGACTAAGGTGGGGTGGGGACCACGACCAGGGCCAGAACCGCCACCGTGGACAGACGCCCACCCAGACCCTCCCCTAGACTGTATGCTGGTGCGCCCGGAGTGCGCACCTTTAGGGGGGGGTACTGTGACACTCTGGCTCTGGGACTTTTGTATTTGAGCCAGGGTGTATTTTGTTTTGTTGGGTTTTGGTTTTGTTTCTAGGTTTGCCTTTCTGTTGGCTGCATTTCTAGGTTTGGTCGATGACTCCCAATCGGAGGTAACGAGTGTCAGCTGTCGGCTCGTTATCTCTGATTGGGAGCCATATTTATTCTGATTGTTTTCCTGTGGGAATTGTGGGTTTTTGTTCCTTTTGGTCAGTGTACCGTGGACTTCATTGAGTCGTCTTTTGTTTGTAGTTCGATTACGTTTATTTAATAAAGTCATGTTTATTGTCAGCCTGCCTCTGAGAAGTTTATTGTATCTCTCGTTGTTGTTACCCGAGAGCTCGCACTGCGTGCGCTTTTCTTGTTTAAACGCACTGTGTTTTTGTGCGTAATTGTTTGCGCCACCCGGTTGGGTTGGCGACTCATTGTTCACGTGTTTTTGAACATTACTAAAGACGGTTGAAGTCATCCTGGTTCCTGCGCTTGATTCCTTCCACTCATCTACACACACCACTCTGACAGAAAAACCCACCTTAACAGGACCAAGCAAGGTGTCAAGCGGCAACAGTATCCACCTATAAAGGATTCATGGACATGGGAGGAGATACTGGATGGAAAGGGTCCTTGGGCACAACCGGGAGAATATCGCCGTCCTCGTGAAGAGCTGGAGGCAGCTAAAGCCGAGAGGAGGCGGTATGAGGAGGCAGCACGGAGTCAAGGCTGGAAGCCCGTGGGTACTACCCAAAAATTTCTTGGGGGGGGGCTTAAAGGGAGTGTGGCGAAGTCAGGTAGGAGACCTGCGCCTACTCCCTGGACTGACCGTGGAAAGCGAGAGTACGGGCAGACACCGTGTTACGCAGTAGAGCGCATGGTGTCTCCTGTACGCAGGCATAGCCCGGTTCGGTACGTTCCAGCTCCACGTATCGGCCGGGTTAGAGTGAGCATTGAGCCAGATGTCATGAAGCCGGCCCAACGCATCCGGCTACCAGTGCGTCTTCTCGGGCCGGCGTACATGGCACCAGCCTTACGCATGGTGTTCCCGGTTCGCCCACATAGGCCGGTGCGGGTTATTCCACCTCCCCGTACTGGTCGGGCGACGGGGAGCATCAACCCGGGTAAGGTTGGGCAGGCTCAGTGCTCAAGGGGGCCAGTAAGCCTGCACGGTCCGGTATTTCCAGCGCCACCTCCCCGCTCCAGCTCAGTACCACCAGTGCCTACACCACGCACCAAGCCTCCTGTGTGTTCCCCGAGTCCGGTGCGTCCTGTTGCTGCTCTCCGCACTAGGCTTTATGTGCGTTCCCAGGGTCCAGCATACCCTGTTGCTTGTCCCCGCACTAGCCCTGAGATGCGTGTCCTCAGCCCGGTACCTCCAGTTCCGGCACCACGCACCAGGCCTACGGTGCGCCTCAGACGGCCAGAGTCTGCCGTCTGCCCAACGGGGCCTGAACTGCCCGTCTGGACTGAGCCTGCAAAGCCGCCCGTCTGCCATGAGCCTTCAGAGCCGTCCGCCAGACCGGAGCCGCTAGAGCCTTCCGCCAGACAGGATCAGCCAGAGCCTTCCGCCAGACAGGATCAGCCAGAGCCTTCCGCCAGACAGGATCAGCCAGAGCCGTCAGCCAGCCATGAGCAGCCAGATCCGTCAGCCAGCCATGAGCAGCCAGATCCGTCAGCCAGCCATGAGCAGCCAGATCCGTCAGCCAGCCATGAGCAGCCAGATCCGTCAGCCAGCCATGAGCAGCCAGATCCTTCAGCCAGCCATGAGCAGCCAGATCCGTCGGCCAGCCATGAGCAGCCAGATCCGTCGGCCAGCCATGAGCAGCCAGATCCGTCAGCCAGCCATGAGCAGCCAGATCCGTCGGCCAGCCATGAGCAGCCAGATCCTTCAGCCAGCCATGAGCCGTCCAGCCAGGATCCGCCAGAGCCGTCCAGCCAGGATCCGCCAGAGCCGTCCAGCCAGGATCCGCCAGAGCCAGCCAGCCAGGATCCGCCATTGAGTCCGGTGCTGTCCCTTAGCCCGGTGCTGCCCCTTATCCTGGTGCTGCCCCTTAGTCCGGTACTGCCCCTTAGTCCGGTGCTGCCCCTTAGTCCGGTGCTGCCCTTTAGTCCGGTGCCGCCCCTTAATCCAGTGGGGTTTAGTTGGGGGGTGGTCATATGGAGGAGGCTACGGAAGCGGATAGTGACTAAGGTGGGGTGGGGACCACGACCAGGGCCAGAACCGCCACCGTGGACAGACGCCCACCCAGACCCTCCCCTAGACTGTATGCTGGTGCGCCCGGAGTGCGCACCTTTAGGGGGGGGGTACTGTGACACTCTGGCTCTGGGACTTTTGTATTTGAGCCAGGGTGTATTTTGTTTTGTTGGGTTTTGGTTTTGTTTCTAGGTTTGCCTTTCTGTTGGCTGCATTTCTAGGTTTGGTCGATGACTCCCAATCGGAGGTAACGAGTGTCAGCTGTCGGCTCGTTATCTCTGATTGGGAGCCATATTTATTCTGATTGTTTTCCTGTGGGAATTGTGGGTTTTTGTTCCTTTTGGTCAGTGTACCGTGGACTTCATTGAGTCGTCTTTTGTTTGTAGTTCGATTACGTTTATTTAATAAAGTCATGTTTCTTGGACACGCTGCGCCTTGGTCATACTTGGACGACATAGACGACCGTGACAGTGGGCAGAACTGAAAAAGCGTGTGTGAGCAAGGAGGCCTACAAACCTGACTCAGTTACACCAGCTCTATCAGGAGGAATGGGCCAAAATTCACCCAACTTATTGTGGGAAGCTTGTGGAAGGCTACCCGAAACGTTTGACCCAAGTTAAACAATTTAAAGGCAATGCTACCAATTACTAATTGAGTGTATGTAAACTTTTGACCCACTGGGAATGTGATGAAATAAATAAAAGCTGAAATAAATCACTCTCTCTACTATTATTCTGAAATTTCACATTCTTAAAATAAAGTGGTGATCCTAACTGACCTAAGACAGGGAATTTTTACTGGGATTAAATGTCAGGAATTGTGAAAAACTGAGTTTAAATGTATTAGGCTAAGGTGTATGTAAACTTCCGACTTCAACTGTACACAAAGACAGATGGTGTTGCTGGTTGTTGTTACCTGGAAGTACATGAAGTTCATGAGCTTGGTGACCTCAGGCTCCAGCACCTCCACTGTCTTCTCATAGATCTCCACTCTGTTGGGCTGCTCATTACACTTCACCTGATAGAGGGAGGGAGAGATGAAAATTACAGGCCTCTCTCATCTTTTTAAGTGGGAGAACTTGCACAATTGGTGGCTGACTAAACATTTTTTTCCCCACTGTATGGGGGATAATGATTAATACATATGGGGGATCATGAGTAATACTTATGGGGGATCAGTTGCATGAAGATCCACAACAGTGAAAAAATGTATTGTAATGTTAAGAGTTATGTGGCGTATCAGATCAGCCATCCAGTGGTTACCTGTGGGATAGCGCGAGAGCAGCTCCTCCATGTGTACAGCATCACTGCATACTCCTGGCCCTCCTCCAGCATCTCATTCTAAAGGAACACATTTAAAGGCTCTCAAACAGTCATACTTTTTAACTCACAATACAGCTACTAGTCTCTCTCTCTCTGAGGTAGTGTATCAGTTGTATCTCTTAATACAGCTACTAGTCTCTCTCTCCCTCTCTCCCTCTCTCTCTCTCTCTCTCTCTCTGAGGTAGTGTATCAGTTGTATCTCTTAATACAGCTACTAGTCTCTCTCTCCCTCTCTCTCTCTCTCTCTCTCTCTCTGAGGTAGTGTATCAGTTGTATCTATTAATACAGCTACTAGTCTCTCTCTCCCTCTCTCTCTCTCTCTCTCCCTCTCTCTCTGAGGTAGTGTATCAGTTGCATCTCTTAATAACAGCTACTAGTCTCTCTCTCTCTCTCTCTCTCTCTCCTCTCTCCTCTCTCTCTCTCTCTCTCTCTCTCTCAGAGGTTGCTGAGGTAGTGCTGCAGTGCATTCAGAGCAGCTCTGGTCCCTGTGACTGCTTGTCTGGCTGGCTGACTAGCTGCCTGGTTGGCTGGCTGGCTGGTTGGCTGGCTGGCTGGCTGGCTGACTGGCTGCCTGGTTGGCTGGCTGGTTGGCTGACTGGCTGGCTGACTGGCTGGCTGGTTGGCTGGCTGGCTGGTTGGCTGGCTGGCTGGCTGACTGGCTGGCTGGCTGGCTGACTGACTCACTGACTGGCTGTCTGGCTGGCTGGCTGGCTGACTGACTAGCTGCCTGGTTGGCTGCCTGGTTGGTTGGCTGTCTGGTTGGTTGGCTGCCTGGTTGGCTGGCTGTTGGCTGACTGGCTGGCTTTACTGGCTGGCTGGTTTGGCTGGCTGGCTGGCTGACTGGCTGGCTGCTGCTGGCTGGCTGGGTGGCTGACTGACTCATACTACTGGGTTCCTACTGGCTGGCGTGGTGACTACTCTTCCTTTGGGTTGCTTGCCTGGTTGTTTTTTTCTGTTTTTGGTTGGCTGCCTGTTGGTTGGCTGCCTGGTTGGTTGGCTGTCTGGTTGGCTTTCCGTTGGTTGGTTGGCTTCCTGGTTTGGTTGGCTTGCCTGGTTGGTTGGCTGGCTGCCTGGTTGGTTGGCTGCCTGGTTGGCTGCATCCAAAGTGCTGTTTGATGGAGCCTTGGCAGGTGGGCAGGCGCTCTACAACCCCAATTACCCCTCAGTAATTGAGCACAAAGCACCACTATTCCCCACTATGTCCCTTCTAAAGCAAACATGGCACAGTGCAGTGGAGAGACTTGGGATGTTTCCCAAACGGTACCATATTCCCTATATAGTGCACTACTTTTTACCAGAGCCCTAGGGGTCTATCTAGGGACTAGGCTGCCATTTGGGATGCAGACCTGGAGCTTGGACTGGATCCTCGTCCCTGAACCCTGAGGGGACCAGCCAAGTCTCCTCAACCCACTTCACTGTATTCAGCCTTATTTCACCCATATAAACCCTAATTCACCCTATAAAGCGTCCCACCAGCCCTCTCTCTAACCCTACCCCTCTCTGTTGTCCCTGTTCTGCGGACTACGTTTCCCACGTCACACCAAGTACCAACAAACTACAGAATTTAGAGGAAGTTAATGAACTGAGTTTATTCATTCCAAAGGCATAGCGAATCAATTTTCTATGTATTCATGATGCTACACATGGCAACTGGAAACTGGTACTTACCATGCTAGAGTGGACGGTGGCCTGCTCGATGTATCTGGCGATCCCCGTCACAAACGCATTACGGTCCTCAAAGTTGGTGTTGAAGTTGGGCTGTGCAAAGAGATGGGATGTTAGATTGGAATCAAAGGAATTCTACCAGCTAGCTCTGTGAACATTAATACTGGTCTGGGAACAGTTCTTACCTGGTACATGAGGGAGGAGGGCAGGGGCTCGATGCAGGGCTGCTGGTCTGAGAACAGTTCTTACCTGGTACATCAGGGAGGAAGGTAGGGGCTCTAGCTGGTCTGGGAACAGTTCTTACCTGGTACATCAGGGAGGAGGGTAGGGGCTCGATGCAGGGCTGCTGGTCTGGGAGAGGCAGCTCCTCCAGAAGGTCAACATTGGACAGAGCATCCTCCAGGGTCACCGTGGACGCCATGATGCTGCTGGAACAACACAGATATAGGAGGTAGAGACAAGATTGCTGGAACAACACAGATATAGGAGGTAGAGATATGATGCTGCTGGAACAACACGATATAGGAGGTAGAGATATGATGCTGCTGGAACACAAACAGATATAGGAGGTAGAGATATGATGCTGCTGGAAACAACACAGATATAGGAAGGTAGAGATATGATGCTGCTGGAACAACACAGATATAGGAGTTAGAGATATGATGCTGCTGGAACAACACAGATATAGGAGGTAGAGATATGATGCTGCTGGAACAACACAGATATAGGAGGTAGAGATATGATGCTGCTGGATCAACACACAGATATAGGAGGTAGAGATATGATGCTGCTGGAACAACACAGATCTAGGAGGTAGAATATGATGCTGCTGGAACAACCACAGATATAAGGAAGTAGAGATATGATGCTGCTGGAACAACACACAGATATAGGAGGTAGAGATATGATGCTGCTGATCAACAACACAGATATCGGAGGTAGAGATATGATGCTGCTGGAACACACAGATATAGGAGGTAGAGATATGATGCGCTGGAAACAACACAGATATAGGAGGTAGAGATATGATGCTGCTGGAACAAACACAGATATAGGAGGTAGAGATATGATGCTGCTGGAACAACACAGATATAGGAGGTAGAGATATGATGCTGCTGGAACAACACACAGATATAGGAGGTAGAGATATGATGCTGCTGGAACAAACACAGATATAGGAGGTAGAGATATGATGCTGCTGGAACAACACAGATATAGGAGGTAGAGATATGATGCTGCTGGAACAACACAGATATAGGAGGTAGAGATATGATGCTGCTGGAACAACACACAGATATAGGAGGTAGAGATATGATGCTGCTGGAACAACACAGATATAGGAGGTAGAGATATGATGCTGCTGGAACAAACACAGATATAGAGGTAGAGATATGATGCTGCTGGAACAACACACAGATATAGGAGGTAGAGATATGATGCTGCTGGAACAACACACAGATATAGGAGGTAGAGATATGATGCTGCTGGAACAACACAGATATAGGAGGTAGAGATATGATGCTGCTCGAACAACACACAGATATAGGAGGTAGAGATATGATGCTGCTGGAACAACACACCAGATATAGGAGGTAGAGATATGATGCTGACTGGAACAACACAGATATAGAGGTAGAGATATGATGCTGCACGAAACACACACAGATATAGGAGGTAGAGATATGATGCTGCTGGAACAACACACAGATATAGGAGGTAGAGATATGATGCTGGAACAACACACAGATATAGGAGGTAGAGATATGATGCTTCTGGAACAACACACAGATATAGGAGGTAGAGATATGATGCTGCTGGAACAACACACAGATATAGGAGGTAGAGATATGATGCTGCTGGAACAACCACAGATATAGGAGGTAGAGATACAGTGCTTTCGGAAAGTATCCAGACCCCTTCCCTTTTTCCACATTTTGTTACCTTACAGCCTTATTCTAAAAAGGATTAAATTAATAAAAAATCCTCAATCTACACACAATACCCCAGAATGACAAAGCGAAAAACAGGTTTAGAAATGTAGGTGCCTTTTGGCAAACTCCAAGCGGGCTGTCATGTGCCTTTTACTGAGGAGTGGCTTCCGTCTGGCCACTCTACCATAAAGGTCTGATTGGTGGAGTGCTGCAGAGATGGTTGTCCTTCTGGAAGGTTCTCCCATCTCCACAGAGGAACTCTGGAGCTCTGTCAGTGACCATCGGGTTCTTGGTCAACTCCCTGACCAAGGCCCTTCTCCGCCGATTGTTCAGTTTGGCCGAGCGGCCAGCTCGACCTCATGGCTTGGTTTTTGCTCTGACATGCACTGTCAACAGGTGTGTGCCTTTCCAAATCATTTCCCAATCAATTGAATTTACCACAGGTGGACTCCAATCAAGTTGTAGAAACATCTCAAGGATGATCAATGGAAACAGGATGCACCTGAGCTCAATTTCGAGTCTCATAGCAAAGGGTCTGAATACTTATGTAAATAAGGTGTTTCTGGAGTTTTTTTTATTTTTATACATTTGCAAAAATGTATAAAAACCTGTTTTCGCTTTGTCATTATGGGGTATTGTGTGTAGATTGATGAAGAACATTTGTATTTACTAAACTATACATGGCGGATGAGACTGCATACTGACAGACATTAATTTAGGCCAACCCTTTAATTGCAGGAAACTAATTTGATCAGTCATGTATTAATTGAATGCTTAAAATAAAATCTAACTGTTCCGCAACCAGCCATGGTAAAGCTGAAAATAGGAGTAGCCTGCTGGATATTAAAGTCACATCATAGCAACACCCACCCGTAGTCTGCGCTCCAGCAGGTATACCTCACTGGTCATCCCCCAAAGCCAACACCTAGATATTAAACAGCTAAAGTCACACAAACTACGTCATTTAGCAGACACTCTTATCCAGAGCGACTTACAGTCAGTGAGTGCATACATTTTCTTTTCTTCCATACTGGCCCCCCGTGGGAATCGAACCCACAACCCTGGCGTCGCCATGCTCTACCAACTGAGCTACACAGGACCACGTGTCCTACTAATGAACTAGCCCAGCTTATTAGATCCAAGCTCTTTTTCAGTTAACTGGGTAAAAATATGCCTCCAGTGATATCAGTCTTCCCTCCCGAAAGAGTAGAAACGGAACTGATTTGACCAAGCTTGGACTCTGAGCTTTATTGTGTCACACCTCAAAGTCACAAAAGAAAGTGTGTCCATGGAGTCAGACCACAGGCCACAGTGTGTTCGCCATTTTATTAAACAGTGATTAATAGTACTGTGTGGATAACTGAAATGACACCAGGAAAAAGAAAACAGAAGTAAATAAACCACTTGTCTTTTCCTACTGAACTAGTCAGCACCTACAAACCTGACTCCGTTACACCAGCTCTGTCAGGAGGTATGGGCCAAAATTCACCCAACTTATTGTGGGAAGCTTGTGGAAGGCTACCCGAAACGTTTGACCCAAGTTAAACAATTTGAAGGCAAATGCTACCAAATACTAATTGAGTGTATGTAAACTTCTGACCCACTGGGAATGTGATGAAAGAAATAAAAGCTGAAATAAATCATTCTCTGTACTATTATTCTGACATTTCACATTCTTAAAATAAAGTGGTGATCCTAACTCACCTAAGACAGGGAATTTTTACTAGGATTAAATGTCAGGAATTGGGAAAAACTGAGTTTAAATGTATTTGGCTAAGGTGTATGTAAACTTCCGACTTCAACTGTATGTATGGAAGGTTCCATTCAAATCAAAAGGGGTGCTGTCAAAAAGTGATTGAATTCAAATGGATTTACCCCCATAAGAGGCTTAAATGCCCTGGTACCAAGAATAGGCCTAAGAGGAGGAGAGAAGCAGACTGAAACAGACAGGCTCTGGGGACACATGGGAGGGGGTAGCCCTGACTGAAACAGACAGGCTCTGGGGACACATGGGAGGAGGTGGCCCTGACTGAAACAGACAGGCTCTGGGGACACATGGGAGGAGGTAGCCCTGACTGAAACAGACAGGCTCTGGGGACACATGGGAGGGGGTAGCCCTGACTGAAACAGACAGGCTCTGGGGACACATGGGAGGAGGTGGCCCTGACTGAAACAGACAGGCTCTGGGGACACATGGGAGGAGGTAGCCCTGACTGAAACAGACAGGCTCTGGGGACACATGGGAGGCCTGACTGAAACAGACAGGCTCTGGGGACACATGGGAGGAGGTAGCCTGACTGAAACAGACAGGCTCTGGGGACACATGGGAGGAGGTAGCCCTGACTGAAACAGACAGGCTCTGGGGACACATGGGAGGGGGTAGCCCTGACTGAAACAGACAGGCTCTGGGGACACATGGGAGGAGGTAGCCCTGACTGAAACAGACAGGCTCTGGGGACACATGGGAGGAGGTAGCCTGACTGAAACAGACAGGCTCTGGGGACACATGGGAGGCCTGACTGAAACAGACAGGCTCTGGGACACATGGGAGGCCTGACTGAAACAGACAGGCTCTGGGGACACATGGGGAGGCCTGACTGAAACAGACAGGCTCTGGGGACACATGGGAGGAGGTAGCCTGACTGAAACAGACAGGCTCTGGGGACACATGGGAGGAGGTAGCCCTGACTGAAACAGACAGGCTCTGGGGACACATGGGAGGAGGTAGCCCTGACTGAAACAGACAGGCTCTGGGGACACATGGGAGGAGGTAGCCTGACTGAAACAGACAGGCTCTGGGGACACATGGGAGGGGGTAGCCCTGACTGAAACAGACAGGCTCTGGGGACACATGGGAGGAGGTAGCCCTGACTGAAACAGACAGGCTCTGGGGACACATGGGAGGAGGTAGCCCTGACTGAAACAGACAGGCTCTGGGGACACATGGGAGGAGGTAGCCCTGACTGAAACAGACAGGCTCTGGGGACACATGGGAGGAGGTAGCCCTGACTGAAACAGACAGGCTCTGGGGACACATGGGAGGAGGTAGCCTAGGACTGAAACAGACAGGCTCTGGGGACACATGGGAGGAGGTAGCCTGACTGAAACAGACAGGCTCTGGGGACACATGGGAGGGGGTAGCCTGTGTTCCTGATCCCTCCCTGTAGCGTGTTTAGTCTTGGCTGTACTGTAGGGCTTTAAAACCCTTCTCACCAGGTGAACAACAGCTCAGTATATCAACCCCTGGGGTAATGGGTGTTACTGTGACTGTCTGCGTTCCAAACGGCACCCTATTCCCTACATAGTGCACTACTTTTGACCAGAGGTCTCTGGACGCAGCCACAGAGTAAAGGCATCCTCAGCAAACTGAACGAGTGCGCTTGCATACTGCCTTAAAAGACCTTAGTTATATTGTTGTTTTTCAAGCTGTTTGTCCATTTTGAGACGTCGTAGCCACAATAGTCCGAATTAATCTAATTTTAACCTTGTTGCCGAGG